GCCCAAAAGCACACCCATAGCTGAAAGCCCAATATAGCACACCCATAGCTGAAAGCCCAATAGCACACCCATAGCTGAAAGCCCAATAGCACACCTATAAGTTCCGTTCTAAGTTCGAGACCCTATGCCGCTGCAGAGTTCACATGAGCCTACATGGACAAAGCTACCTTCCAAGGCTCACAGGCCTGTTGACCGCCACAATTTCAAAATGGCCTGCCACGTTCACTAACCGGCCCCCCGCCCAGGTCCAAATAGAAACGCTCTTACGTCCAAGCTAGGTTGTGCACACTATACCGGTAAGGAGCCCTACACTGCTCTCCAGGTGAACTAGTTGGTTTAAATCATCACTATTCTGCCAACCGTCTTCACCCGAATAGAATGCCCGGTCATTATCGCTGCATCTAGACAGAAAACTGCCCCAAATACGGCTATAATGACCGGGTGTTCTATTCGGGTGAAGACAGTAGCTAGGTTGTGCACACACCCACAGGCTAACCTGGGTCCCTGGATCGGCTTGGCTTACCAAAGCTGGGCAGGGGCAACAAATACGAGTTTCCCAATGCATCCATGCATGCATGCATGCATTTTTACCATTTTTTATCCCTGCATCCCTGCATTCACACATCCACGCATCCATCCATGCATGCATGCAAGTCCGCCTTTGGATGGGCGATGGATGATAAGGGGCAAAAATGTATCGTAAGGGGGTAAAACTGAACCATGCATCCATGCACGTTCAGATGCATCCATGCACGTTCACGTGCATCCATGCACATTCACATGCATCCATGCACATATACCTATCCATGCATTCATGCATCCCCTGCATGCATGCACGTCCATGCACACGCGCACCCATGCATCCATGCACGTTCACCTGTCCTCCTATTTATTCATAATAACAACCTTACTCGCCCTTCGATCCATTAGGGTCCACCCCTCCATCCCGCGCAGAGAAAGAGGTTATTTATTAATTTATTAGGGGCGAAGAGGATCGGTTAAGGACCAATGCATCGCCAGCAATGTTACCGTCGTCTTCACCCGAATAGTAGTAGATAGGCCGTATGGTCATTATATCTGTATTTTGGGCAACTTTCAGTCTAGAGACGGCTATACTGATGGTGCGTTCTATTCAGGGAAAGAGTGTAGTATCGGAATTCCCCCACCTCGACAGCACCGTTATGAATAAGGCGGCAATCACTAAGGTCATATACTCACAGTAGGACTTTCATGGATGTATCCGACTGGAATTACAGCCTGAGCTGGATAAATCTGACCGCAACTACGTCCGCAACTTCGTCGAAAAAACGCTATAGTGTCTGTCAGTATCTCTTATACCCTAAAGGGAAAACCGGTCCTCGCGTGATGCAGGAGTCGGGCCCAGGGAAAGTCGGGCAGGGAGGCCTGCGCGTGGCACTGCAGGGTCGTGGGACACGACGTGCCAGACAAGAAAGCACACCGCGGCGCGCGGCGGTTCGGGAGGGGCGCGGTGGGCAGGTCCATGAAAAATCGCACGGGGCGGGGGGTGCCCGTTGGCCGGGTCCTCGTTGCCAAGTGGGGGCGCGGCGGGTGGCCGTATTTGCGCCGGCGGGGTCCTCTTTGCCAGGTGTGGCTGGGCGGAGCGACGTGTCGGTCAGGGCGGGGCGGTTGGGTACACCGACAGAGGGAGAGACAGAGAGGGAGAGAGAGAGAGAGAGAGAGAG